TTAAAGTCAGAATTTTGACTTTTTTCCCATACTAAACTGAAATAAAACTTAAAAAATTTTTTTTTTTTTTAGTGGCCCTAATCCTCTTCCGTAGAATCTACCCCGTTAAAGTCTATTTAAAGAAATTCAACTCTGATATTGATGTTAGCTATTCCTTCTGTGACACTTGCCCAGAGTCAGTCACTCATCTGTTCTGGTTTCGTCATCATTCCAAAGTATTTTGGTAACACTTCTGTACTTTTATTGTGTCAAAACTATCAATAGGATTTCAGTTATATTGGGTAAATATCCTGTTTGGTTTTCAACAAAATGAAAGAATGAATGCGAAGAGTTTTTCTTATGAATTTATTAATGATTAAGGCTAAATTTCATCTTCAAAAATGCAAATTTTTGAGAAAAAAAAATCTGACTTTTCAGTTTTTTTGACTGAATTTAAACATTATATATTTACAATTCGACCTTCAACAAATAAAAAAAGCAAAAACAACTTTATTGGCTTGCAATCAAATTGGAATTTTAGATAAATGTGTTGATTTACTGTGGCATTTGGTATTTTTGTCACCTTTGGTTCTGTTTTTCTTTAAACAAGATTATTTTGTCATTTCTTATCATACTTTTGTTTTCTGTTAATGCTCCCCCTGGCAAATGTTTTTGTTGTTTTGTGATGTGTACAAAATGCAGATTTGTATTATTGTGTATTGTAAATAATAAAGTTTATAAAAAAATAAAATAAAAAAAATTACCGTTTACAATTTATTTTTCATACCTATTGTATTAGGTATGAAAAATAAATTGTAAACGGTAATTTTTTTTATTTTATTAGGTGCTTTCTTAAAGCTACCTTACCACAAAACATTACCAAACACTCTGGTAATGTTAGCTTTCCAGCGTTAACTCTGTGTGTTCCAGTCCAGAATAACTGCGTCATCAACCCAGCATGGTGAAAAATGGCGACCGGCGTGGGTGAATAATAAAGCAGGATTTATAATTCTTTAAGCAATCGAGTTTTAACGTGCCACTAACATTTTTTTTTTAAAGAATAAGAAAATTAAAACATATTTAAGCCAAGCGTTCGACTAAGAGCCAGGTGCTGTTCAAACAGTGTCCTATCAGGGGTATTAGGTGTTTAATATCATAGTAATCCCTTTCAGTATTGCTTTTTAATTTAATGGATGAGGCCAAAATGATTGAAAAATTAGTTTTTCCACTTATTTTTTTAAGGTGGTAAGGTTTAGTTTTGGGCTTAGCAGAGCTCGTTCTACACACAGCCTCCTATTTCCTCTTTTTTCTCTGTTTCTTTTTTTCTTTTTTGGAGGATTATCTTCTGTTAAAAAAGAATGCAAAAATAACTGAAGCATTCGGCCTTGGCTTCTTTTCGCTTCTCAACCAAACCCACGCCAACGAGCGACCTCAAAACCGGGCAAGGTACCAAACTGTGATTTATGCCCACCATTACACCCCCCTACTAGCTGGTATTATCCTTTTTAAATAGGTCCAGGAACTAAATCACATCGCGGAATGTGTAGTCCAACTTATGCAGCCTTAGAAAGCCACAAAATGCCAACAGTTTCTACACTTACCTATGTGCCTTTTTTTTGTGGTCAGATCAGTTCTTCATCTGTTAACATGTTTTTCACAGTACATGGAAGAATCATGAAATCGGAGATTGATGCTACCGCAGCAGTTTATTGCTGCTATGGTAACATAAACATAGCAAAGAGCTGCAAGAGAATTAGTCAGATCTACAGCTGCACAATATATTAAAAGTGTGTGCAAACCCACAATAAATACTGATGGATGCAGTATTATGTATGCCCGTACTGCACACCAGTATTATATGTAGAGATAATTGATGCAAACTGTTTTATGATAATTTAAGAGGTTGAGATTATAGAGCTCATGGCAAAGGTAAGAAACGATGGAGGGGAACTGTAGCAGATATATCCAGCAATAGGGGTGAATCGATTGATGGGCTGGCCAATCAATTAGAGATTGGCTGATAGATTAGATGTGAAACCGATTTCATCCACCAATATCTAAGGAAAACCAGTTAATTGCATCGACTCATTGACTCAAAGGCATTTCCTCCATCTTACCTGCTAAGGATCGACCATTATAGGCTTTTTTAAGGCCAATATCAATTTCTGTTTCCGCATAAGCAACTGATATTGCTGCCAAGTGTTTTTGCAACTGATTCCTTAGGCAGATATTGCTTTTTTCTTCCTCCATTTACATAAAAAATGACACAATGAAAGCAAATGTTACTCAAGTCTTAAAATAAACAAAAACCTAATTGTTTTATAACAGATCATGCCAAACATTTAACAACAGATAGCAAATGCAAGGAAGCATGGCTGCTGAACGCACAAATCAATCAGCAAAAAGGTGTCGGCCGCTATAAAAAAAAAAAAACCCTTCTACTATTCGCCAAATATATCAGCCAGCCAACGTACCGGTCTATGACTATTATCTATTGTTTCACAAGTATTGATTAATGTTTTTAAGGTATCGGCCAGAAAGGGAATGAGCCTGTTTGGCTTTTTAAAGATCAGCCAGGAACCTGTAATCGATGCACACCTATTCTGCTTTTGTAATATACCATACAAGTATCAGTATTGGTATGTGTATATCATGTTTTGTTTCATGTATAGAAGGAGCTTAAACAAAGCTGGAAAATGATACTTTTAATGTTTCGCTTCATAATTTACCCTAGAGCAATAGTTGAGGATTTTCTAGTTTTATTTCTAGTCTTTTTTAAAGGTTATAAAAAAAAATTGCTTCCTGCAAGAAATTTTAAAAAACTGTTAGTTTAATTCTGCATGATTCTATCCTTTAGCATGAATCCAGACTCTTTGGACCGCAATGCAAAGCTAAAGGCTAGAAAAAAGAGACATGACCGGTTCAATAACGTTGCAGGTTACGGGTACAAGAGTTTGGGCCTTCAAATATTGTCGCTTTTGAATTGGACAGGCCGAGGATTATGCACACTGGAGATTAGGTTTGGAGGCGGTGAAGCAGTGGCAGCTGGCCTACAGAGGGCGCTAGGGTGCTGCCCCACTCACCCAATGACCTGATTTAGACATGAAGAAACCAAAGAAAATTAAATTATAAAATGAAAATATTTTGAAATATATTGACATATATTTTTTAGAGGTGCAAGATAAATATTTAATCTTTAATGACAAGTAAAGCTATTTTGTTTGTTGTCGGTTTGGTGGCATATTTCTAACCTGACTCCGCCAGATGGATTTGCTCCGCATATCCATCTGGAAACCTTCCGTTGAAGTAATTTTGGGAAGGGGCGAAAATACTGGTTAGCTGATTGGCCTATGTTGGTGATAGACGTACTAACAGAGCGACAACGAAAACACAACCACAAGCCAGGCTGCTCTTGCCGAAACCAGTCGGGAGAAGAGCAAAAACATCTTTTCCTCTGAGAAAAGCCTCCAGAGCAGTGTTTTGCTCTTCTTTCAGTGAAGAAATACTCTGTAATTCCGATAAAACTTGCTCGATAGCCACGCAAACGCTAGTTTCATGGGCTGAAGCCGCCATGTTCTTTAGACTGAACTGTCGCGCTTCTCGTTGCGTCACACCTCAACCCGCCTCAAAGCCAACGCTGATTGGACGTTCGTTTGATGAACGGCTCCAAATTTTCTTTAACGGAGAGTCTCCAGACTGATCTGCGAGTGAAATCTTGAAAGCTCGCGAGATCAGGATGGTGTCACGAGGCTACAAAATTACCGCTTGGTGGACAAAAATCACGCCATGTGCCGGAAAATCACCCGGCTTTTTCAAATCACGCGAGAATGTGTACAAAACAACAAAAATGGTGCCAGCAACACTTCTGGGTCGTTTTCATCAAATGTCAGTGATTTTAAAGTAATTTTGAGTGATAAATATTTTTTTTTTGCATCACACCTCAACCAGCCTCAAAGCCAACGCTGATCAGTCTGGAGAGTCTCCAGACTGATCTGCGAGTGAAACCTTGAAAGCTTGCGAGATCAGGATGGTCTCACGAGGCTAGCATATTTCCGCCCTGGGGCGCAAATATCTTTGCCCATAGACTGTGGTTAAAAGTTATCCATGCGCAGTAGCTCCTCTACAATGCAAACCATAGGACCATCCTAGGTTGCAGCTCTCCTGCACCCAAAGCTGAAAGCAACTTTATTAGCAGACCACCAGCCGCCACAGTGCTGACCTCACAGTCGTCCGTTATAAAGTGCGACTGATTGACAGGTTTCTATAATTGTTTAGCAACGAGGCTTGGCTAACTGCATGCAGTCAGGCTAATGCTTTATTCTGCTTTCTGTCTAATTTGAAATTATAGTCCCTATCCTAAAGAAAACTCCACCAGTGCCAGCGCAGTGCACCATTAGAGATCCTCCTACACTTCAACGTTTCCAGTCAAAATAACTGTCGGATGTAAAAAGCAAAGTTATATAGACAGCAAATATATTAATGAAGTGACCACCCCCACCCTCCCATCAAAACTAAAATGTTTATAAAGTCCTATAATATCAGCAATTGCTTTTTGGGCTCCAAAAAAAAAAAAAAATGGACACCTTCTTTGATGTATAAAAGGAGATTTTTCGTAAATTTTATTCTAGACTACAAGCAAATACTTCTAACCACGAAACCCGTAGCTTACTGATATCTCAGGTCATTATTCAGGCTGGAGACAGTTTAGACATTTCAATCTCAGTGCTTGTCTCACAGTCACTGTGTAAACACCTGCACACTGCAAACACTAGCTTTTCAGTACCCCGGCCGACTGCACTGGATTTATACTAAATAAAGACACTGAGAGAGTTATCTACTGCAGGTTAGAGATAATTAACTGCTGATAACCTTTAAACTGAACCTCACTTTGAAAACTGTGAACTATCTTTTTAAGTTCAGGCCCAATTATTTTGTGCTACCTGAGACCTTTTCTTGCCCTGAAACGTTTCAGAGACGCCTCAGCTTGGAAAATGTGGATTTAGTTCCTGTTTCTGACTTACTGGTGCAGGGAGAGTCCGGCGGGTCACTGTCAGCACGGAAGAAGCCGCCCAGGCAGGGACAAATGTTGGCTCCTCGTGAACTGGTGCGACTGTTGGACGGACAGGGAGCGCACGTTCCCTCACCAAATTTGGATTTGAAGGTCCCAGGAATGCAAGCTGCATGAAACGGGAGAGAAAACAGAGAAGACAATAAGAAGTGCGGAAATGTGGAGACAAAATGAAAAAGGCGAGGCTCAGTCACTTATCTAAAAGACCAGCAGCTGTCACGTCTGCGGCAGAACACAACCTGCAAAACCCAACATTTATAATAGAAACGTTCACACGTGCGTTCATATCGGCACACACTCAAGCAGAAGGACTTATCTATGCATTTGCATGTGCTTTTTCATTTCGGTCCTCTGTGTTCGGTGACATTAATCTCCCGGTACATGGAGTCGCGATGACAGCAAAGTTCCGTGTTGAAGAGGAGGAAAAGGAGGATAAAGATGAAGACCGACTGCTGACAGAAGATTGCTGTTGTCAGACAAACAAGGATGGAGAACGCTTCTGAGAAAAGGGATCCACTCCAAACCCATCAATCAGTGTCGGCCTTGCTCCTCTAGGCTCTCGAAACCGCGTCGAGGAATACAAACAAGACCTCCGAATGCATGCAGAAGAGCTCCATAATAAGCCAATAAATCAATCCAAATGAAGGGACATCAGAACAGACACGAATTAGCTCGGCGGAGTTATGAGAAGAGTATACAAAGTACGGTAATCTGAGGCGATGTGTCCGAGAGATTAATTTAAATTCCTAAGTGTTGGGCTGCAAGTTGGCTGATATCAAGTCTTAAGGATAAACCGGCGTAAGCCCATGCTAAAGAAGGATTCTGATAAAGGGGATTAGCAGCAAAAGGTCCGGATATATCTGCCTCGGGAGCCGCGGGTTTTTACTACTTGCCACATTCCTAACCAGTGGTGTAAAAGTAGGGTCTCTGGCAAACATCTGTCCTGTCAGCATGACGGCTCATAAAAGCCAGCCTGAGAAAGAGGGAGAGAGGAGAGCAGAGGGTGATTAAGTAGTTAGGCTAAGTGGGCTTTCAGTTCGAGTTCCAGCTCCACCCAAAGTCCAAACAATGGCATGTTTAGAAAAGCCAGCACAACTAACATCCCTTAAGTGGTATTGCACAATAAAACTCCAGAAAAGGTGGGGGAAGTAGGTTGCTTTTACTGTTTTACTAAGACCAGGGGTGGATTTAAGAAATTTGGGGCCCTAGGCAAAGACTGGCAGGGGCCCTCTGAATTGAGAAGACAACACATAAAAGAAACCCATTATACAGATATAGACATTTTAATTTAATTGACAAAGATTATTTGTTCTACGTTTTGTCCCTCTCTTCTTGTCCCTTTTCTTGTTGTTTTCCTCTCTGTGTTTTTTACTCAATTTTCATGCTTCCTGAAAAGGAATGAAATATTTTTTCCAAGCACTAAGCTCACAAATAAGGAATAGTTATATTAACAATTAGGGCTGCAGCTAGCGATTATTTTATAAATCAATTAATCTGTTGATTATTTTTTCCATTAATCGATTAATAATCGGTTTTTAATTAAATTAAGCCTGGTGAAACTAAAACATTTCCACTTGAGGGGTTCTGGATAGAGCATACTGACCAGCAAAAACATTTATTTTTTTATCTTGAATGCAAAATATACATATATGTATTTTTTTTTACAGTTTTGATCTAATTAGAGCTCTAACTGACAAGGGTGCCTCATGGGGGGGGGGAAGTTAGGAAGATTCTAAGGGCCCTTGTCTGAGGGGGGCCCCAAAAGAAGAAGAAAAGATTTTTCCCGCTAATATTTTTCAAACATAAAAAGAAAATCAAGCAGTGAGAAAATATTTTGTATTTTCCCTCTTTTTAAGCAAAAACCAGCGAAACAAAGCATGAATATATCGACTAAAACACCCATCCTGCATCGCATTAGGTCTCCCCGTCTGTCGTGTGTGTCATTTTACATGCCGATAATAAATTAAACAAATCAGTACATCAGTATCAGTTTGAAGGCTTACATATATTTTTTGGGTGGGGCCCCAGTATCAGTGCCTTTCATTGGGCCCCAAATTCCTGGCGCCGCCCCTGCTAAGTGGGTTGTTCTGACAGCTAAAAGCACATTTTACAGTCTCTATGCTCCAGTTATTGATAAATACTACATTAGTTGCTGATTATTTCAATAATCGATTAATCACAATTAATCCGATTCATTGTTTCAACCCTATTAACAATACATCTAAACAGTTTTATGGGGTAAATCCCCCCCTGACTAAGACTACATGTTACCTAATGGGAAATCAAATATTTTTAGATGTAGGTTAATTCATTTTACTCCTATACATCCCCATGAACATACATGTATTGAAACCATCAAACATTTGTTTATATTTGTTCTTTAAAGTTAACCCAATGCATATAAGGGATCCATGATTAGTTGTAGAAACAGACTTTAGTTTAAAAGTATTTATTTTCCATATTATTGCAATACATTCGAAATGCTGTAAGCTGTTTAGTTTTAATAGATTTAAGCAAAATATTGTCACACAGACACAAAATGTCGTTTTCTAGGTAAGTGGCGTATGCTAGGTCCGACAATCGCCTTTAACGACCGACCTTTCAGACACTTGGATGGGTATGGGGTATTGCAGTCTAACTAGCATTACTTATCTGCTGTGCTTTAAACGTGTTTGGATGTGATAATAGTAAAAGTGGAGGGAAATGGAGGGAACATAATTTAAACACCTAACCTTGTTAGTAGAAGCTGCTGCCCGTGTCCTCACTAAGACTAAGAAAGTAGAGCACATCACCCCAGTTCTAAAGTCCTTCCACTGGCTCCCTGTATCTCAGAGAATAGACTTTAAAATACTTCTGTTAGTCTATAAACTCTGAATGGCTTAGCACCTAAATACATCACAGACTTGCTATCAGTGTATCAACCCTCCAGACCACTCAGGTCTTCTGGCTCCAGCCTGCTCTGCATACCTAGAACCAGAACTAAACATGGAGAAGCAGCATTTAGTTCCTATGCTCCACTTATCTGGAACAAACTTCCAGAAAACTGTAAAAGTGCGGAAAGCCTGAGTTCCTTTAAATTAAGACTAAAAACACATTTGTTTAGGATTGCCTTCGACTGTTCTAGTTAAACAGTTCAACTGAAACATCATTAGTTTCCAAAACTAAACTGTTCATAATTTATTCTTTATGGTACGCCAGCATTCATAACATGTAGGCGAATCACTGTCCCCCAGACATCCACGGTTAGATTTTTGATATTTATATTTTCAAAAACAAAGCAGAGTGTGTATGACGTCACGCCGGACTGGAATATCTTCAGAAAAGCTCTAAATGACACAAAAATAAGATGGGTGAGTAGAACATGATGTAATAACGTAAAAGGGGCCAATGTAAAAAAAAAAAAAAAAAAGGCGTTTCCCTTTAAAGTTGGTTTCCCTTTCTTAATATATGGCTTCCTTCATACCCCTCTAACCCCTTTTGATCAAATAATAAATGGATCATTTGCAGTCCTACTTGAAATGTCTGTTTCTAAAAAGCAAAGAATCATTCCAGGTTGAAACCTAAAAGACCCTCCCCTAACAATCATTCTTATGAAGATGATGTTCAGCAATTCTTCTGTGTCATTGTCTCTAGCAGGCTATTCCTCACAAGGGTGCCTGTTCTCTTTCAAAATGGACATTGGGATTTTATGAGGTTTAACTCTGGGCTGGAGGTCCTTTCATCAGGATAAAGGACCAGACCCTCATACCAAAGGGCCACTCGGACAGACTAAGCACTGATCGGGTTTTAGGACTGTAGGGGGAGGTGGGGGGTCCACAGAGGAGAACATAAAAAAAATAACAACACATGGAGAGCTCATGCCAGGACCTGTATTCAGGACTTACAAGCTAACGGTGCTAACATCTGTGCCACCTTCATGCCTGTTTTGAATTAAAGCATGCTTTTTGTTTAGAAATCTAGGTAGACACTCCTGTTAGTACTTCTAATTAAGGTGATTGTTAGGTTTATTCAATGATGATTATAAAATTAATGTGTGCTTATAAAACATTTGTGCAAGGGGATGCTCCACTCCCGTCTCATGATCCAGTCAGGAGACCATCCTGCCTTGTCATTCTGATGGAGCATTCTGTCTTCATGAACTGATCAATAGGGGGTTTTCAGGTGACGTCACGCTCACGTGACTACTCAGCGCGTCCGCCATATTGGGTGGCAGCCTTAGGCAATATTGACAGTGAAAAATGGTGAAATCGTGTGTAATTGTTGGTTGCACGGCCCGTGGAGGTGGAGATCAACGCTCTTTCTATCGCATACCAGCCGTAATCGTGAATCAATGTGAAAAAACAAAACAGCTATCTGAACAACGCCGTCACCTATGGCTGACACGGATATCCAGGTCCGATTTGGACGGTGTTAAGCTGGAATACGTCAGAGTCTGCAGTGCTCACTTTGTCACAGGTAATTAACTGTCAAGCATTTAAAACATGTAAGAATATATTAATAATAGGGCTTGGGCGTCATGACGTATTACTTTCCGTGGCCGCAATGTTGACCGTCTCCGCCGCCGCTACTCAGACTACTGCCTATGACTACCGCGTACTGGACTCCCTCTCTCAGCCGTGTTTTAACTTGATTAATTTCACCTTAACTTGATTTCAACCAGCGGGAAAAGGCTCAAATATGTGAGAAACCCGGAGGGTTTAGGGAGGTTTGGCAGTTAACGTTACTAACCAAACCTTTGAAACACATAGCAGCTAGTTAAAAGTACATTACATGCCTGAGTGGTTGTTAGCACTAACGGTTAGCACTGTTTGCTGGCTTTATGAGCTGCAGCTCCTGAACTCATCCATTCGTAAACTGCACATGAGACTCCAAGGACTTGTAGCTTTGGAACTGTTCGCGCACCGCCGGCCGTTAGCCACCTAGCATAGCGAGCCCTGCGTCGGATTGTTTACATTTTTACCATCTTATTAAAACTCACCCGTCCACGTATGATGGCGATTTCCTTCATGTACATCACTTCGACATCTCGTACCCAACCAGATGTGAACTGGTTGTGAGCCTCTAGACCCTTGTACGCTCTCATTTCCTCAAGAGTGTGCAGAGGGTTTT